TTAAATGCCATTAATGCCGACTAACAGCATCGTAGTGACACAATTAGAACATTAAAAGGGGAAAGTAGAGATTAATTTTTGCCCTAACACATTGAATAAGCAACTGGTCGTCTTCTCGGACTAGGCAATCAAGATGCGACTCACCGTCTTTTGCTGACACATTTTTTCATAGCAATCCCAGACACTTCATTCAGTTCAGGGGTGGAGGCCGAATGGCGATTCACCTTTGTCCCAGCACTCAGCCAGGAATAGCAACTACACAAGGAAAAGGAGAAACAATCTCACCTCGTGTGTGTACGTAGTCCGATGATGGGTGCTGCAAACCGCCATCAAATTGTTGGCGCTCAAATCGCAAAGAAGTCCCGCGTGTGCGTCACACGACCTAAGAAATGATGGCACTGTTTCCAGACTCCGTGGACAGCACTCAATGGAATTCAGACACAAACACGTGGAACAAAGAAAGCAAAGAGACGTCCTCACGATATTTAGCGAGTGGCGTAGAGGCCCACCGATGCCACCTCCACCACCACCAGCCTCTCAGCACCTCCCTTCGCTTCCAACACCAACACACCCGGTGTGCCTCACCACCGCCCACCGCATCACACCAAATCACTACGCGGCGCCTTTTCATCGTCGCCTCTGCCGACACCGGCAACAACGGACTGCACAAAACCGTGTGCCAGCTTTACTACCACATTCCAATCACCAACGCCACCAATTCAGACAGGTTGCATTGGAGGACCTCCAAATATTTGCTCCTATCTTGCCTGCAGATGCCAATGGCCCGCATGGGCATCGAGACAGTCGCGGCAGCGCCATCAATGTACCTTCAACTGGCAGACACGATGCGTAGAGCAACATGCACACTGATGGCACGAGTGGCATCGCACGTCACTGCACCCAATGCATCTGTTGCTGTAGATCAGATTTCCACGCATGTAAATAAAATCATATAAACAAGAACGAAAGGAAACATCTTTGAAAGCCGAAATTTCTCCCACCTCCCCTACGTAAGTTATCAACCATGCAACACACACATACACCTACATCAGCGTCTACCTCATTGCCTCAACCATCCTTCACCATTGTACTTCCAAGTGGAAGGACTGACCTTTGGAATCCTACCAGTCGTGTCAAGTCCTGCAGCACGTGCACAAAACACATTATGCCGTCCATTCATCCATCCACCCTGTATCCATCCATCCATCCA